CATCATTCCCCCTGTACCAAAGTACTGTACAGTACTGTACTTGGAACTTAACACGTTTTTTTTTTTTTTTTGGCAGGGATATTCCCTTGCGGGCCCTAAGCCTCTGGCTGGCCCACTAAATGATGCTTGTTTCTGTTTTAATTGGGTGGAGTATGAGTATTTATGATTTTTATCACTGTTAAACAATGTTTTCCACTTCCTTCAAAGACTTCATTAATATCAGCTTATAGTTTTCAGTTTTTTCTACAGAGGAAATTTTCATGCTGATAAACAAATTTTTACGGTAAGAACAAAACAATCTGGTCCAAAATCAACGAAGACCTTCAATGAGAAAGTGACGGAAAGACCGCCAAGCAAAAATGCTGATTTTTGCGTTGTCTACAAATGATGCCTTGAAGATGTGACTAGTATTTTTGTCTATATTATATCTGATATATGAATGAGAGAGCAGTGGTGCAAGGACTGTGCCCTTGGTTACAGAACTTTTCACTGCACTTTGACTTGACTTTGAGTCTCTGCATTCTTGTGTGATATAAACTTAAAACTCCAACACACTACTTTACCCATTATTCTTACTGACCTCATTTTATGGACTAAATGTGACTCCATGGTCACAATTATCAAGTGCCTTTGCAAAGTCTATATACAACATATGCATTTTATTTTTCTTCTAATGCTTCCATGATTTTGTCATAGTGGTTTAATAATTGTGAAAGAAAAAATCTTACTGCTCTAAATCCATGTTGATCTGGGTTGAGAAGTTCATTGTTTTCCCACAAAACTGGAGATTTGAGTCCTAATCGCTCTTTCAAACATTTTTATTATGTATGATGTTTGTGCAACTGGGCTAAAGTCTTTTGTTAAAGCTTTACTGGTAACAGACTCATATTTCAAACAAGATCCTTCTCATTATTACCAAGATATTTTGCAGTCTATTCTTTGCACTGCTAAACAACTTTTCTTAACAAATGTGGCAGGCCAAAACCTTTTTCCGAATGATATCTCCAGTTTCATGTTAAAAATATCTATTCCAGTCTTTACGTCTTATTCAATTCTTCACACACTGCCATAATTCATTGACACCTATTAAATCCATCTGGCAACCACACACTCCCTTCACTGAATGTGGTATTTCACCAATGGTGCAACTGATGTTAGTGTTTATCTTTCCATTTTTTTCTCACCAGCTTAATTGTCAGTCACTTTAAAACAGAAGAACTCAAAGTTCTCACACACTTAGTGAGTACATTTTCCCCAGAGCCACTTCATCTCTGGAGCACAGGCCTATAGTTATAACAATAATGAGAAACTCCACTAATGGTTCTATTGTTTGGGACAGGAAGTCAGCTCTTGTCATTGTTCTTATGAAGCCACATTGAACTTTTGTCTTAGATTTCAAGTAATGTTTTTCAAAGTTTGTGTTTTGATTTATATAGTCGAGGACAGGAAGGGTATAATTTGGTTTATCGAGGCATCCCCTAGACTAGCAACTGACATTCCCCAGGATGCAATCCACAACAGTTGCTTAATTCCCTAGGTACCTTGACCACCGCTGTCACACTGCCAGCCACCACCACCGCTGTCACACTGCCAGCCACCACCACCGCTGTCACACTGCCAGCCACCACCACCGATGTCACACTGCCAGCCACCACCACCGCTGTCACACTGCCAGCCACCACCACCGCTGTCACACTGCCAGCCACCACCACGCTGTCACACTGCCAGCCACCACCACCGCTGTCACACTGCCAGCCACCACCACCGCTGTCACACTGCCAGCCACCACCACCGCTGTCACACTGCCAGCCACCACCACCGCTGTCACACTGCCAGCCACCACCACCGCTGTCACACTGCCAGCCACCACCACCGCTGTCACACTGCCAGCCACCACCACCGCTGTCACGCTGCCAGCCACCACCACCGCTGTCACGCTGCCAGCCACCACCACCGCTGTCACGCTGCCAGCCACCACCACCGCTGTCACGCTGCCAGCCACCACCACCGCTGTCACGCTGCCAGCCACCACCACCGCTGTCACGCTGCCAGCCACCACCACCGCTGTCACGCTGCCAGCCACCACCACCGCTGTCACGCTGCCAGCCACCACCGTCAATGTCACGCTGCCAGCCACCACCGTCAATGTCACACTGCCAGCCACCACCGTCAATGTCACACTGCCAGCCACCACCGTCAATGTCACACTGCCAGCCACCACCGTCAATGTCACACTGCCAGCCACCACCGTCAATGTCACACTGCCAGCCACCACCGTCAATGTCACACTGCAGCCACCACCGTCAATGTCACACTGCCAGCCACCACCGCTGTCACACTGCCAGCCACCACCGCTGTCACACTGCCAGCCACCACCGTCAATGTCACACTGCCAGCCACCACCGTCAATGTCACACTGCCAGCCACCACCGTCAATGTCACACTGCCAGCCACCACCACCGTCAATGTCACACTGCCAGCCACCACCGTCAATGTCACACTGCCAGCCACCACCGCTGTCACACTGCCAGCCACCACTGCTGTCACACTGCCAGCCACCACCACTGCTGTCACACTGCCAGCCACCACCACCGCTGTCACACTGCCAGCCACCACCACCGCTGTCACACTGCCAGCCACCACCGTCAATGTCACACTGCCAGCCACCACAGCTGTCACACTGCCAGCCACCACCACCGCTGTCACACTGCCAGCCACCACCACCGCTGTCACACTGCCAGCCACCACCGTCAATGTCACACTGCCAGCCACCACCACCGCTGTCACACTGCCAGCCACCACCACCGCTGTCACACTGCCAGCCACCACCACCGCTGTCACACTGCCAGCCACCACCACCGCTGTCACACTGCCAGCCACCACCACCGCTGTCACACTGCCAGCCACCACCACCGCTGTCACACTGCCAGCCACCACCACCGCTGTCACACTGCCAGCCACCACCGCTGTCACACTGCCAGCCACCACCACCGCTGTCACACTGCCAGCCACCACCACCGCTGTCACACTGCCAGCCACCACCACCGCTGTCACACTGCCAGCCACCACCACCGCTGTCACACTGCCAGCCACCACCACCGCTGTCACACTGCCAGCCACCACCACCGCTGTCACACTGCCAGCCACCACCGCTGTCACACTGCCAGCCACCACCGCTGTCACACTGCCAGCCACCACCACCGCTGTCACACTGCCAGCCACCACCACCGCTGTCACACTGCCAGCCACCACCGTCAATGTCACACTGCCAGCCACCACTGCTGTCACACTGCCAGCCACCACCACTGCTGTCACACTGCCAGCCACCACCACCGCTGTCACACTGCCAGCCACCACCGTCAATGTCACACTGCCAGCCACCACCACCGCTGTCACACTGCCAGCCACCACCACCGCTGTCACACTGCCAGCCACCACCACCGCTGTCACACTGCCAGCCACCACCGTCAATGTCACACTGCCAGCCACCACCGTCAATGTCACACTGCCAGCCACCACCACTGTCACACTGCCAACCACCACAGCTGTCACACTGCCAGCCACCACAGCTGTCACACTGCCAACCACCACAGCTGTCACACTGCCAACCACCACAGCTGTCACACTGCCAACCACCACAGCTGTCACACTGCCAGCCACCACCGCTGTCACACTGCCAACCACCACAGCTGTCACACTGCCAACCACCACCGCTGTCACACTGCCAGCCACCACCGCTGTCACACTGCCAGCCACCACAGCTGTCACACTGCCAACCACCACAGCTGTCACACTGCCAACCACCACAGCTGTCACACTGCCAGCCACCACCGCTGTCACACTGCCAACCACCACAGCTGTCACACTGCCAACCACCACCGCTGTCACACTGCCAACCACCACCGCTGTCACACTGCCAACCACCACCGCTGTCACACTGCCAACCACCACCGCTGTCACACTGCCAACCACCACCGCTGTCACACTGCCAGCCACCACAGCTGTCACACTGCCAGCCACCACAGCTGTCACACTATAAATTTTGATAATTAGGTGGTACATTCATTCAGACAAAGCCACTAACACGTGCTGTGTTTCAGAGGCTCAGTGTGAACACAGCTCGCGGCTGATAGTTCACTCAGTAAAGCTAATGAAGCGTCCTGGGGTCAGGGGTCGTCGTCGCCCCGCACCACACTAACTACCTCCTTCCAGCCTACCACGTAGGCCGAGTTAGGCGAGGCCCCACCCGTCACGGAGCGTCACGTAACACAGGTGATGGAACTACACCACTCGTCACAACCTTCAACACTGAGACCCGTACAGTGACACCAGTGACGGCTCTTGAGAGACCACTGTAGCTAAGGCAGGAGAAATACCAGGAGGGAGAGAGAGAGAGGAAGGCAAGTGGTGAAGGAGAAGAGGAAGAACAGAAATGGCAGAGAAGAGAAGAATGAGAAACAGGGAAGGGAAAGAGGAGGGAGGGAAGTAGAGAAGGACAAGGCAAGGATAAGGAAAGGAAGGAATAGTGGAAGAGGGAGGTGTATACACACTATGTTGTACAGGAGAGAGAATAGTGAAAATGGAGAAAGAGAAATAGAGAGAGAAAATAAAGACCAGAGAGGAAAGACAAGAGTGAGAAAGATGGAGAAAAATTTAATGTGAGTGTTTCTTGAGAAAGAATGGAAGATGGGAAAGAGAATAGGTAAGATTAGATTGAGCCATAGTGAATGAGATACATATAGAGCGGGGTAGAGAGACAGACAGCGAGATAGATGGAGTGATAGATGGATAGGGATATGCAGAGGGAGAAGAAAAGATGGAGAGGAAGAGATAGGTTCAGAGATAAGAGATAAAGACACGGAGAGGTAGAGAGACGGAGAGGTAGAGAGTGTGATACGGAGAGAGAGGTAGAGAGAGAGAGAGAGACGAAGAGAGAGGTAGAGAGAGAGAGATACGTAGAGAGAGGGAGAGAGAGAGAGAGGGGCTGGGTCGTGACTCACCGCAGGAACAGATGGTCCGCCTGCTGCTTGACCCGCTTCAACTGCCTGCCGAAGTTCATGGTGTGTGGGTGGAGTGGTCTCACACCACCTGGCAGACCATCGGGGCAGGAACTGGTGCCTGGGAGGGCCAAAATGAGGGAGTGTGGAGGCGGAGGGAGCAGCCTGGGCCATCACCCGAGCAGGACTGGCGTGTGTTTACCTCGGGGGAGGCCGCCTTCTCCCTCCCTCCTCCGCCACCCTTTTATACCCCTCCTCTCCTCTCCTATGGCCTCCCCGGTCCCTATTTACTGCCCATTGTTTCCTCTAAATTTAATAAGATGTGGAAAATAAATGTCAATAGGTAATGCGAGGTTGTGATTGGCCAGGAGGAGGCGGAGGCAGCCAATCAAAACTCAGCTTTAGGAATGTCCGGGAAGGGAGTGCCCAGACAGTAATTATGGCGCCATATTCAAACACTAATTACCCCCTCAACCCACATGATCAAATACACATTACAAAATTGAAATAAAATAAATGAATAATGAAATAAGTTATCCTTTAATTATATCCGTTTAAAGCTGCGATGATGGGTTAAGGAGAGAGAGGATATTATGAGTTTCATGAGCAAGGAGATGAAGGGGCGTCGCCAGGAGGGGCGCCCAGGGTCTCTGTAATTCTTTTTTTTTTTTTTTTTTTTTTTTTTTTTTTTTTTTTTTTGAGATATATACAAGAGTTGTTACATTCTTGTACAGCCACTAGTACGCGTAGCGTTTCGGGCAAGTCCTTAATCCTATGGTCCCTGGAATACGATCCCCTGCCGCGAAGAATCGTTTTTTCATCCAAGTACACATTTTACTGTTGCGTTAAACAGAGGCTACAGTTAAGGAATTGCGCCCAGTAAATCCTCCCCGGCCAGGATTCCTCATGTGGTTTCTTCTTGTTTGCGATGAAGGCCCAATCCTTCAATCCCAATCCCTCCCGCTTCTTTATTATCTTTCAACACTCATTTCTTGATTGACCCATTCCTACATGGCGAATACCTGCAGCTGCATTAATCCATATTTGTTTTTATTTTTTTATTTTTGTTATTTGATTAAGCTGATATAAGTCAATTATACGTTAGGCCTACATGCAGCTATAACTGATTCGGTGTGTCAGGGGGACAAGTATCCAGTGTATAATATAATAATAATTCATTGTGTCGGGGGACAGGCAGCCAGAGTGTATTCATACACGTTAGGCTTATATGGATGTCCGCCCCCCACCCCCACCCCACCCCACCAAAGATCGAATTACGGACCCCGCCCACGATGCAACCCCACAACAAGCTGACTAGCTCCTGAGTACCCTACTTAGTGCTAGGTGAACAGGTGTATCAGGTGAAAGGAACTTGTGCTATGGTATTTGTTTGGGGTTCTACTACCTAAAATCATTTACGTCCTCTAATTACTCAACACAAAGCTGCTATTAGGACAATATCTAACTCTGGCCCCAGACATCACTCGGTACCCTTACTCAAATCTCTGAATATGTTAGATATTAAGTCACTGCACATTATTAATATGAATAATATTCATATAATAATATGACTATGTTAGATATTAAGTCACTGCACACCGCCCCCCATCCAGTGGGCAGCGGTGGATAGCTAGCTAGGTTACAATCAATCTTAGTTACTACCTACAGTTAGCAAACTGGGGATATTTGGTTAAAATTTCTGGTTCAAAATGATCTGCTACCAGAAATTTTAGCCAAATATCCCCAGTTTGCTAACTGTAGGTAGTAACTAAGAGTGATTGTAACACACCGCTGCCCACTGGATGGGGGGCGGTGTGCAGGACAAACATATCAATTGTGACACTAGCTCTCCACATATGTCAGTTGCTTAATTTAGAAACTGTACTTGTGGTCGATCTCGAACCCATTGTTGATGTGACGACTTATACTGAATTTTGTAACTAGCTCATCAAGATTGTAACTTGCTTAGCTAAATGAATTGTGGGGTTCAGTCCCTGAGCCAATTATGTGCTTCTGTAACCCTTTCCACTACCGCCCACAAGATGGGTATGGGGTGCATAATAAATGAACTAAACTAAAAAAAACTGCACATCCTCTCATGTGTATTTTATATATATAAAACGCTGAACTGTAATATCAATCCTGACCTTAAAAGCTTCCTAGAAGATTGTAACAGATCCCATGAGCACCACACCAGAAACAAATACCTATTTGATATTCCAAGAGTACGACTTAATCAAACTAGGAATGCTTTACATATCAAGGGACCCAGAATGTGGAATGACCTTCCCAACCATGTTAAAGACTGTACCTCTCCCAACCAGTTTAAGATAAAAACTAAGTGCTACCTAATTAACTCCCTGTAACCTACCTCACCCCAAAATGTCAACCCATGGCTTCTATTTTAAACAATGCTGTCTGTTGACCAATTTGTATTTTTGCTATTTTTTCTGCCATGTTCCCCCTTTTTTTATTTTTTTATTTCTCAACACAATTTATTATTTAATCTCAATTAGAATTAAGTTTTAGTCTTAGTGTTTTTCCTGCCCGAAACGCTTTGCGTAAAATGGCTTTAGGCATTGTATGTACTAGCTCTATCTATAAATTCACCAACGTTTTGTATCTCACCATGTATGTATGTATGTACTTTACCTGAATAAATATTTGATTTGATTTGACTTTTGAAAAGTGCCCAACCATTTGTCCCGCCCTTTATTTGAACCCTGAATTCTTGATTGTGCATCGAGAACGAGTAAGTAATTATCAAAAGAAGGCACAAGCCGTTAAGGCTATATGTAGCACCATTAAATGTGCAGGATAATCATAGGGCGCTAAATATCACTAAGGACGCCAACATGAGAACTGAAATGCATAAAGCGAACGATATCAAAAGTATCCGATTCACCAAGAATTCTATTGAGGGACAAATGACCGCGAGGGACGGTCGGGAAGCAAGACACACGTTTGTTCTGGAAGTCAGGACATTCAAAGAAAAAGCCTCCAGATTTCTAGCTCCTGCCATTGCATTGCTCTTCAACAAATCACTTGAAGTCCAAACCTTTCCGGATATTCTAAAAAATGCGAGAGTAACCCCACTCCACAAATGTGGTGATCTCACTGATGTCAACAATTACAGACCTATCTCAATTTTGCCAACATTGTCAAAAATGGCCACAGCTTTTTGTAGAAAAGCGGTGGCATGAGTTGCTTGTGCTTTTATTAAATTCCTTCAAATTGATGTCTAACTTGAATTAATCATTACTTGATGTGAATATTTTGTTGAGTAAGGGTATGGAAACATGCTGAGTTACTGTATTTACTTTTTGAAGGTGAACATCCACATTTCTCCTTCCTGTCCTCCCAGGCGTGCATTCTGGAGCCCGGTCTGTTGTGTCCCCTAGGCATGTCCCCAGGGGCCATGGTTCGTGCTCCCTACGAGTGGCCCCTACGAGTAGCCTGGCGTCGTCCTTGGCGGCGATGCCACGTGGCCAGGTTACAGTGGTCCTGTGCCCCTAGGGCCCGACCCTAGGGGCCCAAGCCTCGGTCGGCGTCGCCCACATGGCATGGCGCTCCGTGGAGCGCTTGCCCAGGGTTGTGTCTCGCTTCCTTCCTGTCCCTCTTGGGCGCTAAGCCATGTGGATTAGCGACGCGGCATTCCCTGGGGTGGGGCTCGGCCTGCCTTCGTGCCGCGCCCGGGCGTGCCCGCATGTGGGGGGGCTTCCCTCACGCCCACGGGATGGAGATGCCCATGCCTGGTGGTGGTGCTCCCGGTGGGCAGGCCCCTGAGGCTTCCTTGCCCTAGGGGCTGCCTCGGCGTCCAGGTTGGGCTTAACCGAGAGTCTACCCGTACTTCTGCTGGTTCTATGGTCCAGGCTGGGGGCCACTTCAGTTTCTATGGCCAGGCATGCAGAGGCTTGCTTGTCCTAGGCTGCCCCTAGGGCCCCGGTTCTGGGTTTTCCCGTTATGTTTTCAGGTGGCTGGCAGGTTCCTTTACCACGTGGGCCGGCGTCGCGCCTTGCGGGGGCGTTGCCCTCGCCCTAGGTTTCAGTGCCCGCATGCCCCTGGGGCTTGCGGGCACTGAAAACTCCCCCCCCCTGTTTGGGGGTGACTCTGTGAGCCAGGGCGTGCTCAGGCGTGCCTGGTGTGCTTTGCGTTGTCGGGCCTGGCCTGTTTTCTTGCCTTCTCTGGGCCGCAAACCCTAGGGGCCCTGACGCGTCCTGGAGGGTGCCGGCTCCCTTACGCCACAGGCTGGCGTCACCCCGCCGGTGGCATCGCCCCACGTGGTGGTGCCCCTCGTGGCCGGGTTTTCTGTGGTCTCTGCCCTAGACGTTGTCCCTAGGGGGCCCTGGCGAGCCCCCTAGGGACGTGCCCTCCCCCCGAGGTAAACAACCCGCCGGTCGCTTTGCCCCAGGTGGTGGTGCCCCACGTGGCCGGGCTTTCAGTGGCCCCTAGGCGCTATGCCTGGGGGGCCTGGGGCGCCCGGCTCCCTTACGCCAGCGGGCTGCCGTCATCCCGCCAACGGCCATAGCACGTCGAGAACTCTGCTTCTTGTCAGATCAGTGAAGTTAAGCAACGTTGGGTTTGGTTAGTACTTGGATGGGTGACCAACTGGGAACACCAATTGCTGTTGGCCATAATGTTTTGTAGCCGTGAGCGGCAGGCCTTGGGGGCCAGGTGGCCACGTGTCCCTCGCCCTTGGCGTCGGCCCTCCGGGCCCTGGCACGTTGTTAGGTAATGGTCTCCCCCCAGAGCGCTTGGTCTCCCTTACTCCCTGCCCGGTGTATCCCGGAAGTCTGGCGCCCCCCTAGTCGGTAGTTCCCAGGCGCTTGCCTGCCCAGTGTAGCCCAGCACGTTTGTTCCCAGACGTTTCGTCTGACCGGTGTAACCGGGTCTCCTGTAGTTTCTTTGGTTGCAGTGTACCAGACGTTTGTCTGCCGGTGTAGCCCGGAAGTACGGCGCCTCCTAGCCGGTAGTTCCTATAGGTGCTTACCTACCCAGTGTAGCCTGGCACGTTTGTTCCCATACGTTTCGTCTGACCAGTGTAGCCCGGTTCTCCTGTAAGTTCCTTGGTTGCAGTGTAACAGACGTTTGTCTGCTCGGTGTAGCCCGGAAGTTCAGCGCCTCCTAGCCGGTAGTTCCCAGGTGGTTGCCTGTCCAGTGTAGCCCGGCACGTTTGTTCCCAGATGTTTCGTCTGATTGATGTAGCCCGGAAGTTCGGCGCCTCCTAGCTGTTAGTTGCCAGGCGTCTGCCTGCCCAGTGTAGCCCGGTATGTTTGTTCCCAGACGTCTCGTCTGGCCGGTGTAGCCCAGCACGTTTGTTCCCAGACGTTTTCGTCTGGCCGGTGTAGCCCGGCACGTTAGTTCCCAGACGTTTCGTCTCATCGCTGTAGCACGGTTTTCCATGGCTTCCTCGGTTGCAGTGTACCAGATGTTGGTCTGCCCGGTGTAGCCCGGATGTATGGGCTCTTCTCCGTTGCAAGTTTTCAGCGCTTCGTATGACTGGTGTAGCCCGGAGGTTTCTAAGGGGCTAATTAAGCCACTGGGTTCCCCTGGCATGCTGTCTGCGGGTGTGGTCTGGGTCCTTCCTACTGGCTGGGACGTCCTGCAGTCGTCCCGGCTGCCGGTCAGGTAAGATTCGTTCTAGCTGTAAGTGTCACAGGTTCAGGTTTCCGACGTCGACGTCGCAGCCGACGGTGCCAGCAGGTGATGTTCCTCCCGTTGACGGCTCAGATGTCGGTGTCCAGAAGCAGGCGTTGCAGTCGACCTTGAAGGGGGGGTGCCCCAGAGAGTTATGTTCTGGGGCATGGGTTTTTCTCCAGTAGGTGGCTATTATTTGCAACGCATTTGGGAGGAGGCCTGCCACCACCCCCCGCCCCCCTCACTGCCTCAGTCCTACCATCTAAGCTTCGACGCCCTGTCACCGTGCAGTCTGCCGCATGGGCGACTTATAATTGTTGCTGTTATTTATTATTTATTTGTGATCATTTATAAATATATAATTTATTACATTTTAGACTGTCAGTTATGATTTGTTTCATTACGCTGCAAATTTTACTGCAATTCGTAGCATTACTTAAGCCTCATGCCTATAAATTTCTATTATTTGGACTCGCAATTATGATTTGTATTTTCACATTTTAGTGAACGCGAGTCGAACGTCCCAGCGAGTTACGTTCTGGGGCACGTTTTCCTCAGACGGGGGCTATTATTCGAAGTGCATTCGGGAGGAGGCTGCCCCTCCCCTCCCTGTCTCAGTTATTCTACTAACTTAGGCTTTGACGCCCTGTCGTCGTGCAGCCTGCCCCCGTTTTGGTGATTTATAATTATTTATTATTTACATTATTTATTTATGATTATTCATAAAAATATAATTTATTATATTGTTAGACTTTGTTATGATTTGTATTAATATTCTGCAATTTATAGCATTGCCCAAGCCTCATGCCTATAAATTTGATATTTGGATTTGAACTTATGAGTTGTATTTAACACGGTGATTTATTGCCGCAATTTACGCATTGCGTAAGCTTCATGTTTAATTTATTATATTATTGGACTTTCAATTCGGATTTGTATTAAACTATTGCTTATTGCCATTGAGTCATTAAGTTAATTTCAGCTAAGATATGCTAGTTTACAGTGCATTCGGGTTGGGGTTGGTCATTTTTCTTCTGGTTATTTCGTCCTATTACTTTCGTAATTTTAACTTATCATATATTCTATATTGTGCATTATATTATGACCACTTATTCTTCTCTCGCTTCGGCAGTACATATTCTAAAATTGGATCGATGCAGAGAAGATTAGCATGGCCTTGCACAAGGATGACACACAAAATCGTAAGCGTGCGTTACACATTTTTCTCCCAGCCTAAGCTTTGTGCTGTATTAACTTTGCAAATTCGTAATATTGGTTTTTACACAATTGCATGCATTAAATTCGGCTATTCTTAATTGTCAGTTTAATCCAGTCTTATTTTGAGCAATTTTGCTTACAGTTGGACATACTACTTCTGCCGCGGTTCTCCCTGTGCGCCGTTGATGTTATTTACTATATTCATATATTTATTCAAACTCATATTTACGGCTAGTGTTATTTCTTTGTGCTACAGCTGTTTCGGCAGTAGCCTTACCAGCAACTAAGTTATTACAGTCAGCTCGTTACTTTCTTTATGGTAGCGAGTGCTATGCTGGCTGGCTTGTGTTGGCCAGTCTGACACTGTTGGTTCTTTGATTGGGGCCTATGGGGACAGGCTCGGTGTGATATCATCCCCCAGGTCTTTCTCTCTATTTGGCTCTTGCAGGATTTTTACCTCCCAGGTGGTACCTTGCGTTCAGCTTCCTGCTCCCTTCGCCTAATTTCTTTACTTTACACTTTCCTGTGTTGAACTTTAGCAGCCCTTCTTCTAGACCTTTCCTCCAGCTTGCGCAGGTCTTCCTGTAGTAGCGAATGTTTGCGATTGCTTGCAAGATGACTTAGTATTGTTACAAGACGACTTCTGGATGCCTGCACGATGCCTCCTTGTTGGCGCTGTCCTGTTCCAGGATGATTACCAGATGATCTCCAGTTGGCGTCAGGACGACTTCAGGCCGAATCCCAGACGACTCCTTGCTGCTTTTCATGTTGACTGGTGGCGTTATATTTATTACTTTGTTATATATTTATTTAAAATAAATAAATAAATAAATAAATAAATAAATGTTTATTTAGGTAAGGTACACACATACAAGAGATTTTACAAAGATTGATCGATTTATAAATAGAGCTAGTACATACAATGCCTAAAGCTACTATTACGCAAAGCGTTTTTTTTTTTTTTGAGACATATACAAGAGCTGTTACATTCTTGTACAGCCACTAGTACGCGTAGCGTTTCGGGCAAGTCCCTGGAATACGATCCCCGCAGCGAAGAATCGTTTTTTCATCCAAGTACACATTTTACTGTTGCGTTAAACAGAGGCTACAGTTAAGGAATTGCGCCCAGTAAATCCTCTCCGGCCAGGATACGAACCCATGACATAGCGCTCGCGGAACGCCAGGCGAGTGTCTTACCACTACACCACGGAGACTAGTGGTAAGGCATGAAAAACATTAATGACTAAAGCTTAATACTAATTGAGTATAAAGAATAAAATGTGTTGAGAACAAATAAAAATAAAGATAAAAAAGGGGGAACATGGCTGAAAAAGCAGCACAAATACAATTAGGTCGAAAATAGCGTTGTTAAAAAAAAACAGACATGGGTTGACAATAGAGGGGTAAGGTTGGTTACAGGGAATTTATTAGGTAGTGCTTCGTTTTTATCTTAAACTGGTTGAGAGAGGTACAGTCTTTAACATGGTTGGGAAGGTCATTCCACATTCTGGGTCCCTTGATTTGTAGAGCATTTCTAGTTTGATTAAGTCGTACTCTTGGAATATCAAAACTGTATTTATTTCTGGTGTGGTGCTCATGGGTTCAGTTACAACCTTCAATGAAGCGTTTGAGGTCAGGATTGGCATTACAGTTCAGCGTTTTATATATGTATAATACACATGAGAGAATGCGCAGTGACTTAATATCTAACATATTCAGAGATTTGAGTAGGGGTACCGAGTCTGGGGCCAGAGTTGGATATTGTCCTAATAGCAGCTTTGTGTTGAGTAATTAGAGGTCGTAAATGATTTTGGGTAGTAGAACCCCAAGCACAAATACCATAGTTGAGATATGGATAGATGAGGGAGTAATAGAGTCACCAGGGCAGGGCGGGGTACATAATATCTGATCTTAGAAAGAATGCCAACAGTTTTTGAAACTTTTTTTGATATATTTAGAATGTGTCCCTGGAAATTCAGCTTGTGGAAAATGAGAACGCCAAGGAATTTACCATCTATTTTGTTACAAATTTGGGTATTGTTTATCCTGAGATTTATTTGATTAGAGGATTTATTGCCAAACAGAATATAGAAAGTTTTGTCAATGTTAAGGGTGAGTTTGTTGACAGTTAGCCAAAGATGGACTTTATTTAGTTCAGTATTTACTGTGGCATTTAGAGCAAGGGGGTCAGGACTGGAGTAAATGAAGGTTGTGTCGTCAGCAAATAGAATTGGTTTGAGGTGTTGGGAGGCATTTGGAAGGTCATTAATGTAGATGAGAAAGAGGAGAGGGCCAATTTTGCTGCCCTGAGGAACACCAAATATTTAGTTCTTTTCTCTTCAGCTTGCGTTTAGGGTTGCCTCACTTCGCCCCCCCCCCCCTGCTATTATTTGCAATTATGTACTAGGCTATAAGCATACTCTTATTTTACTACGGGTGTACATTTTAAGTTGATTGGTTGTACTCAGTTAGACATGGACATGTTACATTTGTTAAGTCTTATTTATAGCCGCCTCATTTACATGTTCTGCAGAAATTAATTTACTTGTACTTCTACTACATAATAAATAAGCCCCCCATACTGTCGGTGTCTTTTTTTCCCCTGATCAGAAAATATTTGAAAAGCTAATCTACAAGCAGCTTTACTCTTATCTAGCCAAACTCAATATACTTAGCTCTTGCCAATATGATTTCTGACCCAATAAAAACACTAACAATGCACTTATTAGTATGATTAACTTGATACATGCAGCTCTTGATAAAAATGAGTTCCCTGTTGGGATATTTGTGGACTTACGTAAGGCTTTTGACACTGTCAACCACCAAAACCTTCTTCTTAAATTACATCATTATGGAGTCAGAGGTTACTCCCTGCAATACCTTCAGTCCTACCTTACTGACAGGCTCCAGTATGTTTCTGTGAATAATTCCATTTCTCCGACACTACCTATAAACATCGGTGTTCCACAGGGCAGCATACTTGGCCCTCTCCTCTTTCTCATCTACATTAATGACCTTCCAAATGCCTCTCAACACCTCAAACCAATCTTATTTGCTGATGACACAACTTTCATTTTCTACAGTCCTGGGGCTGGATTCAGGAAGGTACTTACGAAGGTTTTTCCTCTTAGCTAAGAACGTTTTCCCTCTTAGCGCCTTCGTGGCGGCTACGTCCGTATTTAAGTAGCTACCCTAAGTGGAAAAACCTTCGTAACTTCATTCCGGGATTTAAGTGTGGTTTCGACCACTCGTAGCTTTACGTAAACTGGATATAAGTAATTTTTTCTCTACTACATAACACTGGGATCGATTTATGATATTGGAACATGACCAAAATATTATAGCTGGTGAATCTAGTGAAGAGGAGTCCTTTGTGTTAGTTATATATGCATTCTCTGCTTGAAACTTGAAGTAAATATGTGTTTGATGATAGTAGAATTAGTTTTATAATAGCAAGATATTATACCAGTAGTTATTAAGTAAATAAACACTGGTGAACATGAAATATGAGAGAAGGTGATGAGCCCTGCCTGATGGGATCATTTACTATCACCAAATGCCCCTGTTCACCTAGTAGTAAGGGTGTACCTTAGCTATACATACCCATTTCTAATTTATTTAGTTTGGTTTTATTTTGAAATTAAATCTGGGTGAGACATAAAATAAAAATATGCTGCACAAATGATGTTAGGTAAGGAGAAGGGTAAAAATGTCAAAAACTTTATTCATTGAATACTTAAAGCTATAATTATGACTATATAGATTATTAAAAAAGAGAGAGGGAAGTAGGGGTCCAAGACCTCTTCCTGTTATACAATTTGGGTGTGGAACAAGTAATTATCAAAAGGCACCATGCCTTCTATGAAGGCTATGTAGCAGTAAGGCAGTGAGGTGAGGCAGCTACTTATTTGAGAAATGCTTATTTTATTTACCTTATAAGCTGAGGCAACTTATTTTATTTGAGGAATACTCAGCTGATTCCTCTACATTTAGCATGGAACAAATTTGTGTCCAAGACCTCTTCCTGTTACTCAATTTGACTGTGTGTAACCATACTAGAAGTGCTCTACAAATCAAGGGACCCAGAATGTGGAATGACCTCCCGAATCATGTCAAAGGCTGTACTTCTCTCAACCAGTTTAAGAGTTAAACCAAGTACTGCCTAATTAACTCCATGTAACCTAACTTACCTCCTAAATGTCAACCCATGTCTTGCTATTTTTTAAACAACGCTGTTCACCAACATGTGCAATTGCTGATTTATGCTATGTTAACCCCCCTTTTTGTATTTTTTATCCCTTCTTTCAACACAATTTATACCTAATCCCGATTACTATTAACTTTTAGTCTGTGTTTTTCCCCCCCACACCTTGCCCGAAATGCTATGAGTATTAGTGGCTTTAGGTATTGTATGTACTAGCTCTGTCTATAAATCCAACATTATGTTTGTAAATCAACTGTATGTACTTTTCCTGAATAAAATGTATTTATTATTTATTTTTTAATCAGTAAGTATTAAAAGAAGGCACCAAGCTGGGAAGGCTATGTAGCACTATTGTGTGTAACAATAAACCAATTTTTTTTTAACAAATAATGCACCTGTATGGTAAAACAAATCCTGCCAGCTGTAAAAATATTGATGCAGTTATTTAAATGAAAAATATAATGAAAGAAATATTACTGGTTTATTTTTATCCTATCTTTTTGTACTGTACAGTATATCCAAGGAAGTGAAAAATTGAGACATAATGCACAATTTAATGAATGATTAGCATGGATTAGCAGTTCAAAAGAAATATGACTATTACATATCAACATGAGATCTTAATGATCCATGGTCAACATGATTTAATAAGGATAATACAGTACTGAATTTGTAATAATACAAACTATAATTTAAAATCTTTATTACTGATTTTTTTATTAAGAAGATTAGGTATACACAGCAATGTACTACTACCCTATTCTATATGGAATATTACACAGTGTAGATAAAAAACTAGCTAT